TCATCGACTGCCCCAGACTGGGTGGCTGGACAGCAGGCATGGATTTCTCACAGCTCCGGGGCTGGAAGTCCGCGATTAAGCCGCGTTGGTGTCTGGTGGGACCCCTGTCCTTGGCTTGCATCCCTGGGGTCTGTCTCTTCTCATAAGGACACCAGTCATATTGGATCAGGGCCCCATCCTTATGACCACATTTAACCTTAATGACTTCTTCCTAGGCCCCATCTCCAAATGCAGTCATACTGGGGGCTAGGGCTTCAACATATGAGTTTTGGGGGACACAACTCGGCCCATAACAGGTGGGAAAACGCAGGCTACCTAAGAAGATCCATTTTGTTCCCTTCACCCGCTCAGATGGGAGCTCAGACCCGGCCGCTGTGGACAGCCTGTCCTGGGAAGAGGGACTTGGGAAGAGGCGAGCCCCACCCCCACCCTGGGACTGTGGGGGAGGGGGTGCTTCTGCGTCCTGGCTGTGCTGATGCCCCGCCAGACAACTACGGCAGCGGAGACAGGCGGCCTTAGTCTCTGACCTCCACAGAGGTCACCCTGGAGACTCAGGTCCCATGACCACATCGTGATAAAGGGAAGGTGAGGGCCTCAGACAGCTGTGATTCACGAACACTGAGGTCAGGGGGTGCTGAAAACAATCCAGAGCCATACAGAATGCACCGGGTGGGGGTTCCACTGAGCATCCTGACTAACAAGGAGACGGTGCAGGTGAAGACCAAGGTAGGGAATCACCCAGATTTTCTTGGTATCCATGCCTCCCCTTTCATCCCCCTTGCTGGGCTGGGGTCTCATTCGTTTCTTCAAATGCATTGCTCGGACAGCATGGCCAGGTGGTCCTAACTCTGGGCCCCCCCGGCCCGTGCTGAGACAGCCTGCACACCCAGCGATCCCCAAGCAGACCCCGTGGCCCACACTGCATTAGAGGGGGGTCCCGGCTTTGTGCGTCTGGAGTGTCTTGTATCCGAGGGGTGCAGTGCTGCTCTGGGGGCCGCAGTCTCACACGTCTCTGGACGGCCCCAGGGAGGGGAGATGTTGCCGGCTGAAGCTAAATCTGGCCGGCTCGTGTGAGATGGAACCGTGATGGTCCCAGCTGGGACACCAATGATTTCTCTCTGTCGTTTCCTTTCTTTGGAGAACGATCTGAATTTACTGAGAAAGATAGGCCCCAGTGCCTTCCAAGCGCGGTGGGGTAGCCTGCAGGGAGCCGGACATGGCTTCTCATCCACAGGCCAGCTTGGGAAATGGTGTGAACACATTCAGAGCTCAGGAGCAGCCCTCCCGGACACTGGAAAACAGGGCTGTGTGGTTCTGGCCTATACAGCAGGCAGGAGGACAGACTCAGAAATGCACACAGGAGCCTGTTCTTTCCTCTGTGGCCCTCTCTCGTGGCCTGGCCACCAGCCCCACTGTCCCACCAGGTGCCCACATCCTTCTCTGCATGAACATTTGCGCCCCTGGGAATGGACTTGCTGTCATATCCCGTGTCACCTCCTAGTACAAGCCTCTCTTAACCCCTCTGGCCGGAGCTCCATCCCATGAAGCTCAGGCTGTGAGGGCAGCGCCCTGATGTCAGCTTGGTAATGACCCTGGGCGTCCAGCAGGTGCTTTGAGATGGGCAGGCTCCAGGCTGAGGACTGTCCGCTGGGGACTGTTGTTCCCATTTTGTGCGCGTGGAAACAGGCTTAGCTGGATAAAGCAATTCTCATTCATGGCCGAGGTCTGGCTAACTCCAAGGCAGAAGCCTTGACTGTTCCGCTGCTCAGCTGCCTGGGGCGGGCGCCCTGGCCCGGCCCCTCCCACGCAGCGTCCAGAGTTGAGCGGCTCTTACCCCTTGAAAAGAACCCAGGCAGGAGGGGGCTTGGTAGTGGCAGGGCTGGAAAAAACTGGAAGTGTAACAGGAATATTGGCAGAAATCAAACAGAATACTAATCGAACTGAGCACTAAGAGCACCATCGAGAGACGAGCTGTGATTGATAAAATTCAGGTCAGTGTAGCTGAGTGTTCCCCGAGGCCACGGGCCTCAGCCGGGTGTTGGGCAAGGGGGGGTCTCACCCAGCCCCGCCACAGAGCAGTGGTTTTATCAGGAAGGAGTGCCCTGCAGTAAGCAACACACGCACGTTCTTACACACACACACACTCACGTGCACGTTCTTATGCTCATTCATACACACACGCATACACACATGTACACGTTCTTACACACACACACACACTCACATGCACGTTCTTATGCTCATTCATACACACACACCTGTCCCCGTTTGCTCCGTGGCCTTTCTCACCGCCTGACCAGAAGTGTTGTACTCCTGTCTGCTCTGTCCCCACCCCTGGACACAAGCTCCATGGTGGCAGGGAGTTGGCCACGCTCGCCACTGAATGCCCGGGGCCTAAACAGGCACTCAAACATGGGAGCAGATGGGAGAGTGAGTGAGTGAATGAGTGAGTGAATGAATGAATGAGTGAGGAATGAATGAATGAGTGAATGAATTAGTGAGTGAATGAGTGAGTGAGTGAATGAATGAGTGAGTGAGGAATGAATGAGTGAGTGAATGAATTAGTGAGTACTGAGTGAATGAGTGAGTGAATGAATGAGTGAATAAATGAATCAGTGAATGAGTGAGTGAATGAGTGAGTGAACAAATGAGTGAGTGAACGAATGAGTGGGTGAATGAATGAGTGAGTGAATGAGTGAGTGAGTGAGTGAGAGTCTGGAGAGCAGACAGGGCCCAGATCCCCGTCATCCCTGCGCTGCCACCACGAGGCTTGAATGAGAGTAAAAGGAGTATCGATAAGGAAAAGGCAAGCATGGTGATGTAGTAAATAACATGACATAACACAAGGACAACAGCCAAATTCACAGACGACTGATGGCCTGTCAGCGGAGGAGGGGGAGTGGGCGGTGGGCTCAGCCGGTGTCCGTGAGCAGCGAGTCAGGCCCAGCCGCTGAAAGGCCCTGCTGCCTTGGCCCCGCTGCCCCCGGCCCCCTGAGCCCCCGCAGACAAAATGCCGTGGGCCTGGGGCTGCAGGTGCAACAACCCCGGGCGGGCCTGACGTGCATCACTCGGGGAGACGGGGCCGCGGGTTGGACACAGTGTTGTACCCTCTCTGTAACACTCAGCTTAGGGGGCTTTTTTAGTTACAGTTGCTTAGAACTTGCAAGCTGCAATGGCTTGACATTTTCTTAGGAAACTTAAATTTAGCAGCGGAGACGCGGTTTGACGTCAGCCCCGTCCCGATGCATAGGCGTCGGCAGGCCGAGCGCTGGGGCCGCCAGTGAGGCCGGTGGGATGTGCTTTCTGTGGCTTCGTCCGCTAAGTGGACCAGGCCCCCGTGACTCGGGGATGCGTCTCCCGTCAGCCCAGGTCAGGTGCAGACCCTAGGGCACCTGGGGGACTCTGCGGCGGTGGCCCAGGCTCTGTGATGGGTGGACGACCCCTGGAGTGACTTCCCTGTGAACTTTGTCACTGTTGCTGGGCAGGTTTATGCTACCACGTGACCCCAACTTACAAACATGTCCCTTCTTTCTCACGGGGCAGCGTGGTGCTCGGGAGACCCTTGGGCTGAGTCTCTGCTCTTCCATCATCCATGGGTGCCTTGGGGGGCATTACATCGCCCCTGCATCTGGTTCCTGTGGTGAAACGGGAGCTCCTCTGTGCCCCTTCCTGGGGGACCTGGGAGGATTCCTAGTGCGTTTGGAACAAATTCTAGGCCCTCCCTGTCTCCTTCTGCCCGGCCTTCCAGAGCCCTGGAGGTCCAGCTTGCATTGCCAGAGCCTCGAGCCCTGCATCAGGGCTCTGGCCAGTGGCAGGAGGGTTGCAGTGAGATGTGGGGTGGTCGGGGCGCGAGGAGGACCGGAGTCCCGGTGCTCCTCCCCCTCCTGCTTCCACCCCTCCTCCGGCTGTCTGTGATCGTTTCCTGGGGCCCGCTGTAACAAATTAGTGGCGGGAGCCTCACTGCCCCCGAGGGCTCCGGGGAGCCGCTTGCCCTTTCTAGCTGCAACTGCAGGTGGCCCTCGGCGTGGGGTAGCATATCCAGCTCTGCCTTGTCTTCACACGGCCTCCTCCCCATGCCTCCGCGCCAGACGTCCCTCACGTGTCAGATGGCTCTCTTCTAAAGACACCTGTCATTGGATTTAGACTCCCGATCCCCAGCGATGTCCTTGACATCCTTCTGTAAAGTACTTGTTTCCAAATAAGTTCATATTCATAGGTGCCAGAGCTTTTGGGGGGTCCATGGTTCACCCCACTACACGGTCCCTTCTGGGCAACCACTGTGGGACCTGAATCCCCCCTTCAGGAAGGGTCGCTGGTTTGCTTGTGAGCAAGGGAGGAAGGTGAGCGGAAGCTAGCGCCCTCACTCCAGAGAAGCTCCTCACCGGAGAGCACAGAGGCTCAATGATCAGGTAGCAGTCATGACACAGAATAAGGGTGCCTCCAAAAAGCTTATTAATTCTGGATTTCTTTTTCTTTTTCAAAACAAAAATTGTTTTATCGATTACATTATAAAATTAGACCGTGAAAGAAATGATAGATGCTCGTTTTTCAATTTTCAGACAAGTTAAAGATGTAAGTTGCTCTCCCTGCTGATACGTGTGATTGACATTGTGGCCCGTGTCCTTCCAGCCGGCCTTGGGGGTGTGTAAGGGTGGGCGTCCCTCCGTAAGGATTTTCACACCCATTCTGCACCAGGAGACCATCTGCATCACCCTAGGCAGTTGCTGGGGCTCCCATAGATGACTGACCTCTTGGGTTTTCACCTGCTCTGTGTTTCGGGCGTCAGGTGGTCTCCAGTGTTTGATACAGGGAGCCATGAGCACATTCTCTCTACCTTTTGTGCAGAGGGGGGCTCGCTGCCAGTGTGTGGAAGCGCCCTCACTCCACACGCCCTTGCGCACGCGGGCCTGCCTGTCTCTGCGTCTCTAACTGGGAGCGCGGTAGACGCCCCCCTGCAAGGTGACCCCTGGCCCTCCTCTTGCCTGTCTGTCCCGACACAGGCCATGTTCGAGCTGGTCACTTCCGAGGCCTCCTACTACAAAAGCCTGAGCCTGCTCGTGTCTCACTTCATGGAGAATGAGCGTCTGAAGAAGATCCTGCACCCGTCCGAGGCTCACATCCTCTTCTCCAATGTCCTGGACGTCATGGCCGTCAGTGAGCGGTGAGCCACCTGCTCTGGGCCTTGTTGTGGGGCCTGGCTTCTAGAAGCTTCTCCTCACCTGGGGCATGGCTGAAGCTGGTGGTGAGAGCTCCTTGCACTGGTTTCTCTGCTTGTGTGTGTTCGGAATTATCTGTAGTAAGATATAAACAAACACGTGAACCCAACCATCTGCCAGCCCTGCCAGCAGGGTGGCAGATCACGTTCCCCTGGACAGGCCTGCTACCTGCAGACCCTTCCCATCAGCACAAGTGCTCCACGTGTCCCCCACCATCAGGCAGGTGTGTGGCGGGCATCCTGACCAGGTCCAGGGGGGTCCGTGTGAGCTGCTCTATATCCCGGTGTCCTAAAACCCTGGCCTGGCGTGCGCGGGGCCCCAAGACTGTCTGGGGGCCAGTGCAGAGCCCCATCCTGGCCTTACACCTTCTCCCTCCGATTAGATGGGGTTTGCAATAATTTGTGACAGTGGCTTTGGAACCGTGCTTAGGTTTCGCCTGTGAAGGATGGGAGGAGCTTAAATGAAGGAGGAATAAACAACCATTCATTGATTCTTGCAAAGAGGAAAGGGACGCCAATCATACTCTTAGGATAGAACTTCCACTGACCATTTCCCGCTGGGCCACGGAGTCTGCGGCTCAAAGCGCAAAACTCAGCTTTTGGGTGCGCTGGTCCAACCGCGCACGTTCAGATGTGAAGCCGCGGTGTGGCAGGAGGGGCCCCTCCACCCCTGGGGCGCCCCGGGCACTCTGTGGGCCCCCCGTGGGTCCCTCCTCCTCCGCACGGACACCCACCTCCTCCCGGCAGCCCCGCCCAGTGGGCTCGGGTGCACAGTGGCTGAGAGACCCCTCGGCCTCTGCCGCTTCACCCATGGGGGAAAGGGAGTCTTTTTTTTTTTTTTTTT